TTCCAATCACACAATCAGTTCTCTTCAACAGAACTCAGCTGTTTTCTGGAGCTTAGGAAAGGCACGTTCAAGAGTCACCAGGGCCATTCGGATTGCCTAATAGTGTTCACACAGGGAGACAGGTCAATAACAACAGTATTTAATCACTTAAATCCATTAACTATCTTAAAAGCAGCAACCTAGCTACTTGGATTATACTCAGTGAATTTAGATCACAACCGTACATTCAGTGTACTTCATCTGTAGCCGGAGCCATCGGTCCTGAATGGTGGAGACTAAATGAGACAAAGAAGTTACTGGTCCTAAAATAAGCTAATCAAAATGTCATCTCTATCTGTATTATTATTTTAAATACCTCTTTAAAGTCATTCAGTTTTATTTTTAAAATATCTCTGTGTCTATGATCCTTCAACTGAAACACTGTGCTTTACATATTATCACAGATACCAGCTTTTAGCTGACTCATTGAATGAGAGAGACTCTGAGACTCTATTGGATGGTACACTGCTCTCTCATATACTTCTAACATCAAACTTTTATCTACCATCTTTTAACTCTATCCCAGCTTAAGGCATCTTTGCCAGAAATTACATACGGTTTCAAATAAACATATTATTTATATTTGTCTTTTGCCCACCTCAGGGAATTTAGACATTACAAATTTCCACTCAGATTGAATCTCTGTCGCCCTGGCAGTTTCAGGCACAGCACACATCAGATTTTAGATAAGCGAACTGTTTCATTACAGCCCATAACAAACTTATCTTTTGAAAGCAAAACATCAGCTTCTAGTTCTTTCATGGTCAACTTTTCAAGCTGTTTTTTTAATCAGATGTCTTTCAACACATTTTACATTTAGCAACTGTTAATTCAGTAGCCTACTGCTTCTGCTTATTTGTTCTTACATAATGGTAATTATTCTAGTTCTCAATAACGTTTCACATTTCTCAATCTCAATTTTATTTGTCAAGTTCTCAATTACCATAACTTAATATCTGACTTCAAAAGTTTTTTTCTCTAGGAGTTTATCAGTCTCCAATCAGGATTCACACTAACTTTGACAAGGCTACTCTGCATCTTTTGCAGTTATTATAAATCATCTTTGAGATCTGTCTCTCTATATTACCTTTACATATTTTGCAACTCACATTTGTTGGAGTCACAAAAGGATTCACTTTAAGACTTCAATCTTTTGACCTTGTTTTTTATCTCTTATTTCTCAGACCAAAAATTGTCACTGTCGTCATTTAAACACTGATCTATTTTCAACCCCACATTATTATCAGAAATGTGTCACGTGTTAAATGGTCCTACTGACCACAGTCAAGACAATCTCTGTCATCTGGTTGGTTCGTGTGTCAGCCTCAACTACAGCATCAGACACCTTGCAGTTTGATCACTGTGAGCTTCCAAAGGGCTTCAACTTACTGCACGCCCTTGAAGCAGTGTGTGTCCCATTCAGGAATGTAAACAGACCCACTGATAAGCAGTTCTCTGTATTCCTTTGACCATCCACCAATGGCGGATTGAATCACAATAGCCAAATCATACTCTTCATCATTATTATTGGCAGAACATAATTTCATGAGCAGCACAGAAAATGCTCAAAATATTCGAATTTGTTTTCTGTCTTTACCTTACTAATTTGGTATTATCAACAACACTAATTACAAGTACTGTTGCTGTTATCCCAGCTTATCTTTTACAAAACATCATCTGCAAATCTCTTTAAAGTGAGATCTTCAGAGCAGAGCTGTTTACAGCATTTGCTCTCTTCTGTCTCACTATTTATTTATTTATTTATTTATTTATTTATTTTCCCGGACTGTTCCGTTACTCTTCATAAAGTGTAACAATTTATACATCATCATTTTTCATTACAAATGGTTTGAAGCCTTTTTTCTTCCATCACATGGTTAGTCTGCAGATTCAACTCAATATTATCATTATTGTCTCAGTCTTATCTCTACTGTTTCTCCAAAACAGATTATATTACTCAGTCCGTAAATTACACAGACAACCATTATAGCTACTTGCTTCAATACCCTTATTTTCTTAACATTAATAAAATAAAGCAGATATATCATCATTTCAATCATTATTTTATCAAAATCTAGAATTGTTTCCCATTCTGCTTAAAACATTCTTCATATCATGTTAATCCCTGTCAATCATACAATGCCTTGTTTTATTCTAAAACTTTTCATATCATTTAAACATTTTACATTTGACTTCCATAAATTCTATCAGACCATGTCTATTTTCATCACATATAGTTTTCTACTATATTTCTCCTTTCTTTTCCCTACATGCCAGTTCCTTCATTATCTAACCAGTACATGATTGTTTGAACAATCCCCACACACACATGTCTCACACACCAACTTTTTTGTTTTTTCACTTCCCTCTTCCACCAAGTCTCACTTACAGTTCCCTCTATTTCACACAGACAGCCTTATTGCTTCTTGCTACTTCAATCCTTGTCATATAAATTTAAGTTCTATAGACATCTAATGTCATGCATCCATTTACTGGATGAAGAAGTAAAAAACATTATTTCTCCTGGCAGTTCGACATTTTATCTTCAACTGAACAATCCATTATCTGTTCACATTTTTTACACACATGTTGAACGCAGCCACAACAACCTTTTGTCCCGCTGCCCTGTTCCACTGATTCTCGCAACCTCTTAGTCTATTTGTGCTCATGGTAGCTCATGATCATGGTATTTTCTCAGTTTTTTCCCAACATCTAAAACACACATTTCCCCCCACTTTCCTAGTTCTACAGAAAACCGGTGTATCAAATTTGGCATGCTTACTCTGAGATTTTCCCATACTGGCTGTTTTCTGTTCCCTGTGGATTTCTCTTCAACGCGCGTTTTCTTTAATCTGTTTAGGCGTCCCTAACAAATCCGACTCTTTTCTTTTAACCCAAATCGGTCGGGTTGCACTATTAGTGCCCTCCTAATTATGGTTTACCAAAAAATTCTGGTTCCCCCTAATTAGCCTCAGTACCTAAAAACAATTTGCTTCGTCGTGGAACAACTAATTTTCAGGTTACCTATCTGTTTGAAATCTCTTGATCTGTTACAGTTCTCACTTAATCCCAGATTATTTATCTGCTTGAAATTTCTTGTTCTGTTACAGACCTCAATTAATCTCAGATTTTTCCCTCGTATCTGTTTGAAATTTCTTGATCTATATAGATCTCAATTAATCTCAGATTACGTACCACAGAAACAGCCTTCAGCCAATATGGTTCAATTTCACTCTTCTCCCCAATTAAACTGAATTTAATTAACTTACCCAAAAGAAAATAAATTGAACTGTCTCTTACCAGAGATGCTTCTGTTGCCACCGGGTTCTTTAGATTCCAGTGGTCGATTCTCCCGGCCCTGATATCGGTCGGCCCCTCTCTCTCAAGTTTACGAGGTAGAGCTGGAACTTACTTAGTCCAGGTGGCCAAACACCGTCCGATCTCAGGTCCAGGAGGCACGTCCAAGGAATATCACTTCTGACACCAAAACTGTTGTGGCAAAAATTCATCTCAAACAAACATCACTGCGTAAGAGACACTCAGAGTCAAATTATATAAAATAGAAGTATTTATTCTTGCAAGAATAGGAGCAGTCTAATACACAGTTGTTACCCAGTGCAGAAGAGTGACACACCCCCAGACAGACTGAACTAGCTTTTATCTTAGTTTCAAGGCCTTCTTTCCCCCAGAGCCTTCCTCCCAGTAGTTTTCCATAGACGTCACTAGTTGGCCCACTAAGCTCCCCTGCACTAAGTGGCCTTCTGACATCTAGGTCAGAGGTCCTTGTTCGTCTGTTCTCTGGAGTGTCTCCCTCTTCTGCCTCCCCAGGTACATAAACAGAATCCTCTCTCACTACAAGTGAGAGACACACATGTGACATTCTTTGAATCATCTATATTTAACTAAAGATCAATGAATATCATTAAAATTGCCACCACACTTCCATGAGTATTTCGACAGCTCAAAAAATTATCTGTTAATGATCACCATATCAAACTAAACTGCAGAGGTCAGCACTTATTGATTATCTATGTTATTCGCCTGGTTAACCGGGAAAAAGGTAACACGGCCCGTTTCACTGGGTTTTCTAGAAAATTCGATCCTGTGCATGCACATAGTGACAAAGCATACATACATTTGAGCACACATTGCATTTCAATAACTTGTTTTCATTATCTTTTCATTAATTCATTTTCTAAAGGTTAAAACATCTCAATCAGTATACGGCTACAGGAGACAATTTATGCAAGCTTGCCAATGCTAGTTTCTACTTGCACTGCTAGTGACGTGTTAACTTGATGGTTGATCATTCTTGACTTTATATTTTTTAAGTATATTTATATTATTATTATTTTTTTTTTTTTACAAGAAATTCTTCAACAAATTATAATAACAACAACAAAAAAAGGCATAAACACAAAAAAGCTATCAAGGCCTTTGGATGTGATTCCAGTGTTTTTTTTTTTTTTGTAGTGACCAACCTATAAGGAAACAAAATGCATGCAAATACTTAATACAACATAAAGTACAGTTTACTCTTATATTCCTAAGTAGGAAAGTTTGAAGACGCATGCTAAAGCATGTACTATGAACTATCATGCCAATGACTGCTGACCTGCAAAGGGGGTCTCTAATAATTTACTAATTAATGCAAAGTCTAATTCACGATGGATGGATTTTTGCATTGTGCAACTCATGTTACCCGTACCACCCCCAATACCCCAGCAGAAATTCCTTGAAAAAAAAATCATATGTACCTTGGCCAGCTGGTGGATGGGGGAGTCGTGGGGAATTGTGCAAACGTGTTTTCGTATGCGTGTTGTTTTGTGTGGGCACGTAAGTTACTGAATGTCCCTTCCTACACTCTGTGCAAACGGAGGCGTATGTGTTGTCTCCAGCTTGCTTGCAAGGCAGTCCCTGGTGGAGTGTATAAATTGGGGCCATCAGGTTATGTTTTACCTTTTCCAGCTGAGCTCTGTCTCACCAAAGGACCCTGCTGACCATGAGGCTCGTTCAAACGCTTACTCTGTGCCTGGCTCTGTCGCTGAGCCTTGCTGCTCCCTCGTGAGTACACACAGACACGTCAACACACAGTATACGTACAATGTTAAAATTAGTCAAATACTGAATAAAATTAGCTATACATCACAAGTTTATTACTTTAACCTAGCATAAAAAATACCTACTTTTTTTTGCAAAAAAAGGTTGTCTGTTTGAAGTGGGATTTTATGTGTTCGCGTGCACCAACATTTCGATTTTTTTCACCTTTAACTGCTTGGTCTCTAACTCAATAAATTCTTGAATTCACTTCATTTAGCAGAAGCTTTCATCAAAAGTGACTTGACAAACATAACAAGCAAATTAACAAGCAATCTAATAGCTGATTTAGAGACATACCACTATGTTATCATTAGACATATTTTGCAGGGGCTCCATAATTTGGGGTAATGAAAAGGGCCCGCTGTTACAGTGTGTTGTAATGGTTAATTTTAACGTAGACGTATTTGTTTATTTGTGTTCAGGGATCATCAGGAGGGTCATGCTAAAAAAGGTGAAAAAGGTGGGTCTTGTGTCAATGACAATAACCAGATGTAAACAATTTTTCCTTAAGTGGGTAGTAAATAAAAGTGAAACATCAGCACATTCTGATTTCATCAAGACACATATTTCATGATATGAATTATTTTAGGTTCAGACAAACCTCATGCTGAAGGACATAAGCATGAATTGCACCATGGTGCTAAGCTTGACCGCTGTGCAGGAATGGAGTTTGATGCAGTCGCTGTGAACGAGGAGGGAGTTCCTTATTTCTTCAAGGGTGAGAAATGAAAAAAAAAAAATGGTAAAAAGTAATGATAAATATATCAATGTAAACAATAAAAATTTGAATTTTCTTTAGAGTGAATGTAGGATTGCATCATCGTTTTTTGTTTGTTTTTTTGAGTGGCCCTTTAACTGACCTTGACTTTTGACCAAAGGTGACCACTTGTTCAAGGGTTTCCATGGCAAGGCTGAGCTGTCTAATCAAACCTTCCCTGAGCTGGACGACCATCATCATCTGGGACATGTGGATGCTGCACTTCGCATGCACTGTGAAGACAGTCCAGGCCACCATGACCACCTGTTCTTCTTCCTGGTAATTTTAACATTAGCTAAAGTGCAATTTATTTGTCGAATCCACTGTGATGTTTGCTTTATGTATCAACACCAGACAAGTAAACTAACATCTTCTTTAACACAATTTAAGGACCACAAGGTCTTCAGCTACTACAAGCACAAACTGGAGAAGGGCTATCCCAAAGAGATCTCTGAAGTTTTCCCTGGAATTCCTGACCACTTGGATGCTGCAGTGGAGTGTCCCAAGCCAGACTGTACTAATGACACCGTAATCTTTTTCAAAGGTATTGTAATATCGTAGTATATGTCTTTGATTAATTATAATGGAAAACATGTAAGGATAGTAAGTATGTTGAGAAGATTTTGTAGGTTTAAATTCCTTCATAATCCACCAAAGGTGATGAGATCTACCACTTCGATATCAAGACAAAGAAGGTTGATGAAAAGGAATTCAAGAGCATGCCCAACTGCACAGGAGCCTTCCGTTACATGGGTCATTATTACTGCTTCCATGGACATCAGTTCTCCAAGTTTGACCCCATTACAGGAGAAGTCCATGGCAAATATCCAAAGGAGAGCCGTGATTACTTCATGAAATGCTCACATTTTGGTAAGCGTAACACGTGTGGAAAAGTTAAAAGGCTTGAGAAAGCATGCATTAAAAAACAGAACGTGGAGTCTTATAAGGTGTCTCTATTGGTGTCTCCTTCAGGAGATAAGAGCACTGATGATCACATTGAGAGAGAGCAGTGCAGCCGTGTGCACTTGGATGCTATTACATCTGACGACGATGGCAGTGTATATGCTTTCAGAGGTAAATTTCCTATTGTTATTTTGTCTAGACAGGGACAAAGAATTTTATTGACTCTTTTTCAGGTTACATCATTACACCAGTAGATGGCAGCAAGTGACTAGTCAAGAATCATTCATTCACACGATTCCTTCAAAAACGCAGACCCTGCATCTCATTTGGCATACTATCCGCCATAAATAGTAGGCCTATTCAAGACCTAATCAGGCTAATATTTAGAGTGGATAGGAATTGAATTGGGAGGCAAGAATCGAATCCTATCAGGATCGAAGCCTTTATTAGTGAGTCATTGAATCACTCATTCAACTGATTCCTTGAAAAACGCGAATTGTTACTCAGATATGCGCTGTTCGCATATTTTTTTTTATTTATTACTTTTTTTGTATAGGCAGAACAAAAACAGACAATGTAACTGACCACAATTTTAATCTTTTGTTTATTAAATCAATGTTTATATAAAAGTAAAATAAATTGCAAAATCCCAATTGTACAGTCCTCGTCCATCGAAAGCTCTCTTGCTATTGTGCTATTTCTTAAAAATGTATACCAATGTACTCATGCAACTGCAAGCCACTATTTTAACAAATGCAATTTCACACACCCACACAATAATAATAATAATCTTTGTTTCTCTTCCCTAGGGCACCACTTCCTCAGCATAACTGGTGATAAGTTTCATTCAGACACAATTGAGAGTGCTTTTAAAGAGCTACACAGTGAAGTGGATGCAGTCTTCTCTTATGAAGGTCATCTCTACATGATCAAGGTTCTTTTGTGCAGCAGTTGATTTTTTATCAGGCTTTATTATAGGTGTATTTTAATCTATTGTGAAAATGTTTTCTCATATATTCTATTCCATGCACAGGATAAACAAGTGTTTGTGTACAAAGTTGGAGAGCCACACACACACCTAGAGGGTTACCCCAAACCCCTGAAGGAGGTGCTGGGAATTGAGGGTCCTGTACATGCTGCCTTTGTGTGCGCAGACAAACACATTGCTCATGTCATCAAAGGTATAATCACTGGAATGCTTGTTCTGTCACATTCAAAGTAGGCCTACTGTAGATCCTTACTACAAGCTTTTGTCATAGTGACAGAAATCTCACTGTATTTTCTACTATAGGTCAAACAATCTATGATGTTGACTTGAAAGTCACCCCACGTAAGCCCGTGAGGGAAGGAAGCATAACACAATTTAAAAGGATTGATGCTGCAATGTGCGGCCCCAAGGGTGTGACGGTTGTCATCGGTAATCATTACTACATATATGATAGTCTCATGATTATGATGAGGGGCAAAATCATGCCTGAGCAGCACAAGGTGTCTCAGGAGCTATTTGGCTGTGACCACTAGAGGTGGCGTACAGAGAAAAAGAAGAGGAACTGGTGTGCAAGTGACTTTGTGGAAATCTCTTAAAAAAACAGACACAGAAATTGCACAAACTAGCCTAATTTTCAAGCAGTGCCATATCCGCTTTCTTCAAACTTTTGTCACTGACCTCAAAATAAAATCCCTGCCTCTAATAATTCTCCTCAAATAATCTAGCTTTCTTCAAACATGTGAATACAATCCTGGCATTTACTGCCATTGTACGGTGTGCTGGCTAATGTATGTCTATTACCACCGCACCGAGCCTGTAATACTTTATTTGAAGCTCCATTGAAGAATAAGACTTGATCATTTATCCTTGATCTGTGCACTGTGTTAATAAATAATCTTATCTTTCATATTTGTCTGTTCAGTGTGATCCTATATATTACTGCATAATATGTAGTTATTAGATTTGTTCATGAATTAGCCTACACTGTTATATATAGGCCTATACTTTCTGAACTGCTTAAATGACCTAATTTCACATAAACAGCTTAACAACAGAAATATATGTATTAATAGGGTTCAAGTGCTTTAAAGCCTTTTCGAGATATGCGAATGTCCTCGTAGACAATTGCGGCACCTTGGACAAAGACACTGCATGCCACTGCAAGTCAGTCGGACTGCATAGCTATAGCTGTTTTTTGTTTTTTTCTAGCGCCACCAAGTGGCCAGTCACCACATCCTTTTACATAAAATCACAGACAGAGCCCAACTCCAGTTTAGGAGTTACTTTTGGTCGCTATAGCGCCACCATGCTGGAAATTGGGGCAAGTCTTGGAGACGTTGTAGACGGGGTGGTGGGTACCATACCATCCCTTAAAGTTTTAAGTCTCTATGACTTATGGTTTGGTGGGTCTGCCCAATCACTTTTAGGGAAAAATACTGATCCTTGGAAATTCTAACAATTACAATATAGAGTTTCATACTGCTTCAACCCCTAATAAAAAAAAGGCTTTCATCAGGTCACGCTTGAACTACTGAAAAATCCCCATTTCTGCACTTTCAGGTCATTTATCATGGGAATCTAGTGTTGTTTTTCTAACTTTTTAATGTATAGCTCTGGCTTATCTCTGTAAAAGTTTGCACCCTTCTTTAGAATCATGTAACGCACGTGCCACCTAATTTCGTGAAGTTCTACGTAAATCAGACAGGAAAGGGCCATTTTCAGCCTTTTCGTGTGATTTTCCACATGAATAGGCCTACAGTATTTTTACAACTTTTTAACAGTTATAGCCCCACCTATGGTCCGATCTCCATAAAAGTTTGCATGGTTCTTTAGAATGTAGTGTAGACGTACAACCTAGAAGCTTTGCGTAGTTTCACTACGTGAAATATCACGGCCGAACAGTGAAGGAAATGATTAGTTGAATAAAGTCGTTATTTTGTTGTTGTTTTTTTGCGCACAAAAAGTATTCTCGTCGCTTGATAAACTTAAGATTGAGCCACTGTAGTCACTCGGAGTATTTTAACAATGTCTTTCATAACTTTTGGGACGGTCAGTTTCGATCCCTTAAGAAGCCTATGGAGGAGTGATCCAGCTCTCAGATTTAATCAAACATATCGGTAACGCTTTAGATTACAGCCCGGAAAGTACTGCGTAATTAAAGCAATTTTACAGCGTAACCTTCGGTAATTATAGTGTACCTATATTGTACTTACAATATAAGTATAAGAGAACAATATTTTAAGTTTGGGGAATAAAGGGGTAACAACCAGGAGAATTAAAAAATTATTTATACTGTAAGTATTAAGGGTAACTTATTCTACTATTATGATATAACAATCTTACATTTGGGATCAATTTAGCAAGAACATATACTGCGTACCTTTTTGAAATAATGGTGAACCAGTACATACTGTATAGGCTTTATAAATGCATAGATGTACCCTGTACACTGAAAACGAAAACTATTGCAACTTTTGCTTAAATATTGTGGAAAGATACTCTTGTTTCATGTAGCTTGTTACCCCCTTGTTCGATGTAGTTACAGGGTAAGTGTGACATTGCGGGCTGTAAATTAAAGTGGTGCTTTTTACCCCCTTGTTCCATGTAGTTACAGGGTAACAATAAAAATGTATACACACAATCTTATATCACTGACTCGGAAACCTTTATTTATTATAGAAGCACCACTTACCCTGTAACCACATTAAACAAGATATATTTCCCAGTATTTAAAAAAATTGCAATAGTCTTAGCTTTTCTTGCCTTGAAACATGTTAGCCCAACTTAAACATCTGCACTTTTACTATCATAAAATAAATAAATAAAAGTATAAATGCATAGATATGTACCCTGTAATTTTTAAAAAGCCTATAAAGTATGTATTGGTATACAATTATTACTAAAAGGTAAGCAATGTGTATGTTCTCGCTAAATTGCTCCCAAATGTAAGATTGTTGTATCATAATAGTATATAAGTTACCCTTAGTTCTATAATACTTACAGTATAAATATTTTTTTAATTCTCCTGGTTGTTACCCCTTTATTCCCCAAACTTTACATATTGTTCCCTTATACTTACATGCAAGTACTTTAGGTACACTATAATTACTGAAAGTTACTCTGTAAATTCCTCTTAATTACACAGTACTTTCCGGGCTGTAATCTAAAGCGTTACCTACACATTTACTACTATTATTTGTTACCAACTCCACTAGGTCTGAAATATATTTTGTACGTTTTAATCCCCTGGATTACAAACATGATGATTGTATAGATTCTATACGGCCCTATTCACGACTGGTTGCTTACTGATGCTGGACGCTCAATCCAGCCAGCCGAAGGTTAAATGTGTTAAATTATATTTCATTTTCATTGTTTTTATTCATTTTCATTTAAATTTGTAGTTAAAATAAATAAAAATAAGTGTATTTTAAAGTTTAGAATGACAGCTTTGCGTTATTGTGTTATTGGGAGTTGAGCAGGGAAAAATTACCCCAAAGCAACACCTAGTGTCCAACCTACGCTGTTATAACCTGTTTAAACGTGAATTGCACTAGGGTGAAAATTATGAAATGACAATTCTAAGCCACACCCCAACCAGTTAGCTCGTACCCTCGTAGCCTAATAGTTCCATGTGTGATTTAACATATAGTCTGTTGCTATTTCGGGGTCTAAAACAAGAAAAAAAAAGCCTTTATAACATGTAGACTACATGAAAAACTTAGAAAATTTGACAACTAGGCCTATAATGGGACACCGCTGTGCAGCAGCGAGCATCACAATAGAGAAAACCTCAGGAATGATCCAGGTAAATGTGTTAAAGGGCCCCATTCCTATATTTTGCCTGTTGCCCCCAAATCACCAAATCCGCCCCTGCTCAAAATTGACTTCAAACAGCTTATGAATTTTCTTGTCTGATTCCAACATATCATACATAGCCTACATCATTTTGAAGTTTTTTTTTAAAAGAGAATGTGAAAATAACAATTGAAGTTGAAAATTTGCTCGGCGACTCATTTTGCCATCACAGGTCACATGAATGTCGTCGGCATGTGCGAAAAATGTGCAAGAACCATAGACAGTAAAAGAAATGGACACAGCGACCCCGTTGATTTCAACGGAGAGAGTTGAAGCCCAACATGGGCACTCACTTCCTGATAGCCAAGCGTTCTGCGCAGGCTCAAACTGAGCTTGACGACGTAGTTGTCACGTGAGCAACCGTTCTGACCTTCTAGTAGCTGTGCCGGGACAAATCTGAATTGAAATCTGAAAAAAATCTGTTGTTGAAATATTTTGTCCCGTTGCTTTTATGAACTCTCTATCTATGGGCTTCTCCCTTGACTTTATGCCTCCATGTCCACCCGATTGCCTCATAGACAGTAAACGATTGCCTACGAGCTTCTACTTCTGTCTATACGGTAATTTCTCTACTGTGCGACAGAGCGTCCCATGGTTATGATGCAATCGTTAGCCTATTTTTACAAGAATGGCTTCTACGGGGCCATAACGTAAGATGCAAAGTAATGGAGCCTTTTATACATTGTCGTTTTTCTTTAGAAATAAATAATGGACAAATGGAGTCTTTGGACGCCTCAGATGTAAAGTCATTCGCTGTCAAAGTGACGCCAAAATGAATGGGAGTCAATGGGATGCTAACAGCAGGTGATAGCCAGCTACAATGGTGGCCCCCGGAGGCAGCTTCAACTCCTGGCTGATGGATTACCCCCTTGGCAAGAACCAATGAGGTTCATTCTCGTGTGTTAACCAAGGAAACGGGATTTCCGGTTTACTTCCCACCGGAGCCTCGCTTTCGATTTCAAAATATAGGCTGCGTGAAATCATAGACAGTAAAAGAAATGGACACAGCGACCCCATAGACTTCAACGGAGAAAAATGAAGTCAATTTTTTTTTTTTTTTACATCAAGAACAGAACAAAAACAGAATATACATCTACAATGGCATTGGTAAATACAGGTAAATGAGTATTAAGCAAAGCAAATACAAATACAAAGGGGTCTCTTTATTCCTCTTTTAAGAGCTCAAGGTCTCTTATTATTCCAGTCAATTTCTGGGCCTTTTTACTCTTCATATATTCCAACGCTGGAAAGAAATTACAAATCAAGTCTCTTTTAAATACAGAAAAATAAGGTTTCGTCTTCATACATTTGGACTTATGAATGAAAAATTTGCCCAGTATCAACATTACATTAATAAAAAAATTAATTTCTTTTCTCGTCCAACAGCATTCCAAACATAATATGTTTCCTAGCAAAAGTGGGCAGTGAGTGAATCTTTGATTCCAACCAATAAGACATATTTTCCCAAAAAGCATTTGAAGAAACACAAGAAAAAAAAGATGATCAGTTGTCTTTATGTCAACTCAACAACAAGTACAGGTATTTTCTTCAAAATTAAACCGTTCTCTTAAAAATTCACTTGACGGGTATACTCCATTTAATATTTTAAAATGAGTTTCCTTAGCTTTAGGAGCCACTGGAAAGCTAAAATACTGTGTTCGCAATTTTTTAATAGTTTGTTTATCATAAGATTGCAAAACACAGTTATTATACAGAAGCATCGGATATAATATAGAATTGAAACAAGAGCGGATAAGTTTGTTGGGAAT